GCTCCGATCCATAAAATCATCGAAACAAAACTGTACAAGCAGGAAACAACCTGCCAACCCCCCATCACCATGCTGGTTCTGCGGAGCATGGCATTTTGCAAAATTTTGTCCGTTTAAGAATCATAAATGCCGCAAATGTCATCGCATTGGCCACAAAGAAGGTCATTGTTCGTTAAATAAACGCAAGACTAAACATCGTAGTGAAAATTCAAAGCAACGATCAGACAGTCAAATTAAAACCACGTTTGCAACCTTTAAAGTTGGATTTAAAAGTAGGCGGAAATTTGTAAATTTATTAGTAAATGAAAAACTTATACGACTTCAGTTGGACACTGCTTCTGATGTCACGTTGATTTCAAAGAACACATGGCACAAGTTAGGATGCCCATCCATCCGACCGACGGAACATGTCGCCCGAAATGCGTCAGGAGACATAGTAAAGTTGACAGGAGAGGTTCTATGCAATGTTCAACTTATGGGAAGTAAATTTACAGATGTTTGTTATCTAACAAATCGACACGATTTAGATCTATTGGGATTAGATTGGATTGCACATGTTGATACTTTGAATAAATTATTAGATGAGGTATGTTCTCAAAATGTTTCCTATGAGTCTATCCAAATCCCTAATGATATTTCTAAATCAAATGCCTCCGACGAATCATCCTCTCTGGATATTAACGAATTAAATGCTTCTGATGAAACATGTTCTTATGATCTTTCTGAATCAAACAATTCAAATGTTATGTGTTCTCACCCTGTCAAATCAAATACCGCCGATTCATTGCCTTCTCATAAAATTTCCAAATCGAATACTTCAGACAAAGTATGCGCTGGTGAAACTTCGGAGTCTCATGTACTTCGTTCTAATGTTATGTCTACATCAAAGTCTTCTGTTTCCTCTCGATTGTCGTCCGTATATTACATAAATCATCTTCGACAAAAACATGCATGTGTATTTCAAAACAAACTGGGCTGTTATAAATTCACCAAAGTATCCTTATCACTAAAGGAAAATGCAAAGCCCATTTTCAGACCGAAACGACCAGTGCCTTATGCTGCTCTGTCAGTCGTTGACCAAGAATTGGACAGGTTAGAAGCACTAGGTGTTATTGAGCCAGTAAATTATTCATCGTGGGCTGCACCCATAGTGGTCGTGAGAAAAGCAAATGGGACTATTCGCATATGTGCTGATTTTTTCACTGGTCTAAATAATGCTCTAGAAGATCACACGTATCCACTTCCCATACAGGAAGATTTATTCATCAAACTAAATGGAGGAAAGTATTTTGCTAAAATTGACCTGGCTGACGCATATCTCCAGATAGAAGTTGATCCAGCCTCCCAACCATTACTGACGATTAACACCCACAGAGGTCTTTACCAATATAAGCGTTTACCTTTTGGTGTGAAACCAGCACCAGCTATCTTTCAACAAATAATGGACACTATGTTTGCTAATTTGCCAGGAGTCGCTGTCTATTTGGATGATGTAATCGTTACAGGTTCCAGTAAGTCCGAGTTATTCAATCGACTCGATACTGTTTTAACCAAAATATCTGAGTGTGGATTCTATCTAAAAGAAGAGAAGTGTACATTTTTCATGAACTCGGTGAAATATCTTGGTTTTGTTTTCGACAAGAATGGACGACGCCCGGATCCGGAAAATGTACGAGCTATCCAAAATATGCCTCCCCCATCGAATGTAGCAACTCTGCGTTCCTTCCTTGGTCTTATCAGTTATTACAGTAATTTCTTGCCACAATTGCATCGCCTCCGGGCACCCATGAACCAATTATTATCCAGTAATGTAAAATGGAATTGGTCCACTAAGTGTCAAAAATGTTTTGACGAAGTGAAGTCATTATTAACGTCGGATCTACTTCTTACATATTTTGATCCCTCGCTGGAAATCGTTGTTGCTGCAGATGCTTCTGACTATGGTATCGGTGCCGTCATATCCCATAAGTTTCCAGATGGAAAAGAAAAGGCTATCGCAAATGCTTCCAGAACATTGACTTCAGCAGAACGCAAGTACAGCCAAATTGAGAAAGAAGGATTGGCATTAATTTTCGCAGTAAAAAAGTTTCACAAGATGCTGCATGGCAGAAAATTTACCTTAATCACTGATCATAAACCCTTATTATCAATTTTCGGATCTAAGAAAGGTATACCAGTTTATACCGCAAACCGCCTCCAACGATGGGCTACAATGCTATTGGGTTATGATTTCGTTATCAAATACAAATCTGCCTCTGATTTTGGCCATGCTGATGCATTATCGCGCTTAATAAGCAATCATAAGCTTGAAAACGAAGATACTGTTATCGCTTCTATATCAGTGGAAGAAGATGTAAGCAGAATGTTGTTTAATTCAACACAAATTCTTCCAGTGACAGCTGCTCGAATCGCTGAACACACTCGCCGCGATCCTATCTGAAGACGATTATCTACATTTATCCAGCGTGGTTGGCCCCCACGTATAACATCTCATGAACTGAAACAGTATTATCAACGACGCCAATCTTTATCCATCGTAAATGACTGTATTATGGTTGCTGATCGCGTAGTGGTTCCGTATAACTTACGCTCACTCGTCCTGAAACAACTGCATACAGCCCATCCAGGTACTGGAAGAATGAAAGCTATTGCTCGAAGTTATGTATATTGGCCTAATATCGATGAACACATCGAAGATTTCGTGCGTGCGTGCAGGAAATGTGCTGAGGTTTCTAAGTGTCCACGAAAAGCTGAACTACATTCCTGGCCATCTCCAGAAGAACCTTGGTCGCGTATACATGTTGATTTTGCTGGCCCATTCCAGGGTACGTACTTCCTCGTTTGTGTTGATGCTTATTCAAAATGGCCGGAGATTTTTCCTATAAATCAAATCACTTCACAACAGACTATCATGAAACTCCCGTTTTGGAGTTCCAGATGTTCTCGTGACAGATAACGGCACTCAGTTTATTTCTTCCATCTTCTCGGATTTCTGCAAGAGGTTTGGAGTCAAACATGTCCGTTCACCTCCGTACCATCCACAATCGAATGGTCAGGCCGAAAGGTTTGTAGATACCTTCAAAAGAGCGCTACTGAAGGCAAAAGGGGAGGGAAAGATAGAGGAGATTCTTGATGACTTTCTCTTGGTCTATAGAACAACTCCAAACCCATCAACACCAAATCAAATGTCCCCAGCAGAAATTATGTTTGGTAGAAAAGTAAGAACTGCTCTCGAAGCCACAGCAAATAGACATCGGAAAAAGAAACAGAAAGATGGAAAACCAATTTGATCGCCATCATGGAGCAAAACGCGGAATTTTCCAAAAAATCAAGAAGTATACGTCCGCGATTTCCGATATTCACCTCCACAATGGACCAGTGGACGCATACTTAAGAGACAAGGGAACGTAATGTATGTGGTGGAAGTTGAAGGACAGAAGTGGACACGCCATGTCAACCACATACTGGAAAATGCTGGCACTTCACAGAAAACCGAGAAATCAGACTCAATGTGGAGAATCATTCTGGACAGTTTCGACATAAAATGCTCAGCAACTCAGAAGACTGCGCAACATGAACAAGGTCCTATTAGGAAAGCATCACGGAAACGCAGAAGACCAGATATTCTACAGGTAGACCCAAAGAGGAGAACATACGTTTCCGAAGGAAGATATCAATGATGATATCTCAGCACTTACCTGTATATAGTAACTAACCATTTTTTTTTAAAGGGGGAAGGTGTTACGAACGGGGAATTAAGAAGCCCAGACAATTACGAAAGCTATTTTCTTGGGACGTTATTGCATTTCATTCATCGAACGGCGGCCTGCTTGAATATCTGGGCTACCTGTTCCACCGATCTAGATATTTCATCACGTTATCTGTTTTGTTGTTTGTTTTAGCACATCACTATGTCTATTGTGCGCACAACCTATTCAGGCGCGTTTATGAAAAGTTTACAACCTTTCGCTATACGGGATACAAGAAGGTACAATCAGAGGCATCATGGTTGCTGGCAATATGCATTGAAACAAATGAACAGTAATCAAATGTGGATTACCAAACTTCTAACATCTAACTGGTCATCATTCAAAATTTATCGTCACAATCGATCAAGGTATAAGACAAGGAAACTTGTTGAAATATTTTATGCTGAGAATTCTATGTTGTACCAAAAATATAATGTTGAATAAAGCTTCTAATAAAAAAAAACCTGTAAAACACATATTTATTTTTGTCCCTATCTTATTCTACATAACACGAGCTTTCGTTCTATGTATCATTCACTAGCATACCCTTTTTTGTTCCAAAAATATTGTAATTTAAACATAATATTTTGCACTATATTTTCTACCCTAATTCCCTGTTTCGGGCATAACTGTATTTTTCCAAATTATCGTACGTCGTGGTCAAGATATTCACTTATTTATTCATGTACATTTTTGTAGTAATCTGAATTCAGAGAATCCAGAGTTTAGTGTTCCAACTGTCTTGTCTTCTTTCACTCGCGTGCTTGCCGACCAATCAGGATTTAGAATAGTTCTCTCTACCCCGATCGAACTCACGCGTATTAGACTCAAGGTTAAGCCACTCAGCCTAACGCGTCAAGGTCATAGTTTAGACTGGACAGACCAAGGTCAAGTCATAACAAGTATCACGGGGTAAAAGCGATCCAAGGTCATAACATGACCATATAGATTATACGATATTTTGATTGATTGTTTCATGGAAATTAGCTCAATAGAAAAATGCTTCTCACGCTGAACAGACCAAACAGTGATCCATGAATTTACATATACACCCAACCAGAGTAAGTTGGACAATCTCTTCTCAGATAAAAGAACAAACATTTTATTGTATAATCTAAGTGGACACAAATCAAATAATTTTTAAAGAAAATTTCAAATCACAGCAAATATAATTAACAAAATAAATCAATCACAAAAGTACATGAAAAGTTTTTTAAAATAATGAAGCGTGATCAAAAGGAATCACTTCATTCATTGAATAACCATTATTCCAGCTGGACGACCCGGTTGACTAACGAATATCAAGTCGTTGTTACTGCCAGCACCAATCACATTATAGAATTCTTCGCGCACTTTTGCAATGAATTGTTCCGCATAAGATTTTTTCACTAGTGATACGGTGCAACCACCCCAACCTGCTCCAGTTAGACGACTACCGAAAGCACCAGCTGATCTATAAAATAAGTTTATTGAAGACAAATCGTCAGCTTAAAAAAATAAATGAATACTCATCTTAAAATAGTGGCTAGTGGTTGAATAGTCTACTTAAACGCATACTATACAAATCCTACTTCACAGATAACATCAACAGAAAGTTTGATTAACCTATGACTTACACTTCAATTAAAAGCTGTTTTGAAAGTACTCACCTAAAGATTAGTAATTAATAACAAAATATAGCAGTGAAAATTTCAACTGCACATGGATTTGAAATTTTCAAATTCAGCAGATATACTCTAACTGACTCATTATAGATTATACCTCTCGTGAAACTTCAAAAACAATGCTATCCAACTTCTAAGGTTCATGAAAATGAAGTTTGAACTTGTACATATCTAAACTGGTTGACCGAGATTCTGAATTCGAATAAACTGAAAGTGAATATGAAGCGAAATTCTATTATTTTATACAGCTTACTAATCAGGTCAACTACTTTACTTTGAATTTACAAGTGGAATGCATCGAATGAAAAGTACTAAATTAAGATGAATAAAGACTAAAGGCTCAGTATGGTAAAAATAAGGAAAACTACATTCATGAAACTAGATATCAAAGAAAATGCACAAGAAATGAATTGTCAATGAGTAACATGACAATATAAACTTACTAACCAAAGGTTAACATATGACTAAGCCACTAATTCACGACCGAACGTTTGGAAGTTCGGTACCTAAGCCATAGAGTTCCAGCTCACACTTAATAATATAAAAAGAACACAATAACCTTTCCAGTTTAAAAAAAAAATACTAATTAACTCCTTTTAACACCTAAGTTAGATGAATCCACTTTTCGCAGATAAGAATGAAAGTAAATTGAGGGGAAACTGTTATCTATAATTCAAATTATCACAAATATAAATAAGTGAACTTTTAACGCAATATTTTGGCTGAAAAGGAAACCAGCAAAATCCATGGTGAGGGGTAGAACAGTAAATAACCAACCAAACAACAATGGCTTTCAGTCTAATGCACTTATGAATTGAATATATGTAGCTGTAAAATGCTACACATGTGCCCCCAAATGCCCTGGTACGGCCGAGAGTGGGGAGAGTTCGCCCTCTCTCTCGAAATGCTCTCACATGGCCACACGTATACAGCATCTTCCAGGGAAGTCCTACTCACTACCTTCTCGTGGAGGGGTGTTGTTTACGAAATTGACAGGACGAAGAGCGAGTGTCCGGCGCTCTAACCGGGTTGGTGGACACACAGAGTCCACCTAGGGAGGTTGGAGGACCCTGATTTTAAACCATTGATGCACATGGACTCCAGTATCCTGTGGTACAAATGGCGTATGAACCAGTTGATGATCACCGGCTACCATGGGACTGCATTTCCTGATGTTGTTTCACTGCCTTGTGGATCAGACCTTTAGGTCGAAGGCTTCGGTTGTGGCCCCGTAAGAAAACCACCTGCTTCGGTTTGAGCACTCGGGCAGTATCACAGCCCTCATACAAAACAAATGAGATTTGTGTGGCGCATATGTATCTGATGTCTCCTTGTACCAATATCTATGTGTTCAAATAAAATAAAAAGCTGTAAAATGCATACTAGACATCAAATATAAAGTGATACGTAGGCGGTAAGTATATAAGCAATAATAATAATAATAATAATAATAATAATAATAATAATAATAATAATAGCAAGACAGGGAATTTGTGTTAATAAGAGCAATGGAAATACGTCATAAGCCATACAAAAATATTCATATTAGATGAAAACACACATAAAAAGTGATGAAAGGAATCGAACAACTAAGATCATGAATGTAAAAGAAGTGTTGTCGGGACAAAAGAATAAATGGTGCAGGATTGAAAAAAAGCCAAGGTACATAAATATTACCTGAAGATCACTGAAAAATTGGTATAAATCAAAACTTTAAGTTTTTACAAAAAACGTACATATATCCTCAGAGGAACTGCAGCTACAAATTTTTCAGTACACGTTAGTACCAAAAGGACCAAAAAATGTTAATACAGGATGTTCTGACACCTGTACCTTAAAGTATCTATCAGCATTTTCTCGCATCATTTATTCAGTTTACTTGTATTACAAAGTGAGAGATGGTCTAACACGAACCATGAAAATTAGAGCTTTGAATTCATATCCATTTATTTTGATTATAGCAGTCAAGTAGTACACTTAGTTGTCACTCTCACAGTGAAATATGTATCTCACAGTCGAATCCATAAACCTTAGTTAGGGTACTCAATTACATTATTGAATTAAACTGTTTGAATCACACAATATATTATCTAAACAACCACTGCACACAAACAAACAAAATTCTCATAACTGGAAACTGATCGGTAAATCACCACTACTATGTTGTAAATGACTGAACTGAGAGTTAATTTTGACAAATCACTAACCTGCAAACGCTTATTAATTTATCCAATTCACGACAAGAACACTGATAAAGATTGGCACAAGATAATTGACTTTGATTCATTAAATCTCCTAACAACTGCATATAATTATTTGAATTCGTTTGTGAATCACTATTACTAAATATCTTTTTGCATATATTGTAAAATTTAAAAACCCGTTCAGCCTCAGAGTATACATGTTCTGCACGATCTCTTAAATAAAAGTGGTTCACTAAATTTAAATGTAAATAAAAGTAATGAGTGAGATATGATAAAAAATAAACTGTTCATTTCGAAGAACGTTTTCAATATACTTTACTTACTTTTATTAACGCCTGTTACTCCTCGTGAAGGAGCATAGGCCGCTCACCAGCATTCTCCATCCAACCCTGTCCTGGGCAATCCTTTCCAGTTTTCTCCAGTTGTTATTCATCCTTTTCATATCTGCTTCTATTTCCCGACGTAATGTGATCTCTGGCCTTCCTCTTTTCCGCTTCCCTTCAGCATTCCAAGTTACGGCTTGTCTCGTGATGCAGTTTGACGATTTGCGTAATGTATGTCCTATCCATTTCCATCGTCTTTTCCTAATTTCCTCTTCAGCTGGAAGCTGGTTTGTTCTCTCCCACAAAAGGCTGTTGCCGATGGTATCCGGCCAATGGATGTTGAGTGTCTTGCGTAGACAGCTATTTATAAATACTTGTACTTTCTTGATGGTGGTTGTCGTAGTTCAGCTCCGTACAGTAGGACTGTCTTGACGTTTGTATTGAAGATTCTGACTTTGATATTGCTTGAAAGTTGTTTTGAGTTCCATATGTTCTTCAACTGTAGGAATGTGGCCCTTGCTTTGCCAATCCTTGCCTTCACGTTTGCATCTGATTCTCCTTGTTCATCGATGATGCTTCCCAGGTATGTGAAGGATTCTACATCTTCCAGAGTTTCGCCATCAAGAGTGATTGGATTGCTGTTCGCCGTGTTGTACTTGAGGACCTTGGTTTTCCCCTTGTGTATGTTGAGGCCTACTGATGCAGAGACTGCTGCTACACTGGCTGTCTTTATCTACATTTGTTCGTGTGTACGCGATAGGATGGTTAGGTCATCTGCGAAGTCCTAATCGTCTAATTGATTCTGAGCTGTCCATTGTATTCCGTGTTTTCCTTCAGATGTCGAGGTCTTCATAGTCCAGTCGACCACCAGAAGAAAGAGGAAGGGAGAGAGTAGACAGCCTTGTCTGACTCCGGTCCTTACTTGGAAGGCGTCTGTCAGCTGTCCTCTATGCAAGACCTTGCACTGTAGCCCGTCGTATGAGTTCCGGATAATGTTGAAAATCTTCTCAGGAACTCCATAGTGTCGAAGAAGTTTCCATAATTTTCTCCTATCTACAATGTCAAATGCCTTTTCGTAGTCAATGAAGTTGATGTATAGTGACGAGTTTCACTAAACCGATTGTTCAACGATGATCCGTAGTGTTGCAATTTGGTCTGTGCACGACCGATCCTTACGTAATCCAGCTTGTTGATCTCGAAGTTAAGCGTCTACTGCATCTTTCATCCGCTTCAGCAACACTCTGTTAAAAACTTTCCCTAGTATTGACAGTAGTGTGATGCGTCTGTAGTTTTCACATTTGCTTAGATCTTCTTTCTTTGGAATCTTGATGAGGTGTCCTTCTTTCCAGTCCATCGGCACTTGTTCCTCCTCCCAAATCTTTTTAAATAGAGGGTGAAGCATGTCTGTAGTTACTTCGATGTCTGACTTTCCCGCTCTTGATTTGTCTGATCGCTATTCTGATTTCTTCCGTCGTTGGTGGATTGATATCTATAGGAAGATCTATGTGTGCTGCTTCGATGTCCGGTGGATTCGTTGGAGCCGACCTATCCAGGAGTTCCTCGAAGTATTCTACCCATCTGTCCCGCTGTTGTTGAATTTCAGTGATTGGCCTGCCTTCCTTGTTGTTGACCGGTCTTTCTGGTTTACTGTATTTCCCTGCTAGTTTCTTCGTTGTATCATAAAGTTGTTTCATATTTCCTTCTCCTGCAGCATTTTCCGCCGTCGTTGCTAGTTCTTCCACGTACTTCTTCTTGTCGGCTCTAATGCTCTTCTTCACTTGCTTGTTTGCTTCTATGTATTCAGCTTGTGCTTGGACTTTCTCTGTTCGTGTTCGGCTGTTGTTAATTGCTGTCTTCTTGTTCTTCCTTTCTTTGATCTTGTCCAGTGTTTCTATAGAGATCCATTCCTTATGATGATGCTTCTTGAGGCCCAGAACCTCTTGACACGTTGAAGTTAATGCTTCTTTGATACTTTTCCAGTTGTCCTCCATAGTAGTTTCTTCTTCCTTCAGTAGATCCTGTAAGGCTTGTTGTTGAGAGCTATCTTGAATTCATTGAGATTTTTAGTATCTCGAAGGAAGGCTGTATTGAACCTATGTAGTGCTGTTTGTCCAGTTGTCCAGTTTTCCTTTAGCTTCAGTTTTAAATTGACCACAACTAAGTGGTGATCTGAAGCTATATGAGCTCCTCTCCTGGTTCTCACATCTTCTATTGTCCTTCGGAATTTTTTATTGATGCAAATACGATCTAGTTGGTTCTCTGTAGTGTGGTCCGGTGAGATCCATGTAGCTTTGTGTATACGTTTGTGCGCAAATATTGTGCCTCCTATGACCAATTTGTTGAGTGCACACAGATTTGCAAATCTTTCTCCATTTTCGTTTCTCTCTTCCAGTCCATGTCGTCCCACAATATCTTCAAATTTGGTGTTGTCTATTCCGACTTTGGCATTTAGATCTCCCATTAGAATAATGAGGTCGTTTCTTGGGCACTTCTCTATGATTGACTGCAGCCCCTCGTAGAATTGATCTTTAATGTCGTCGTTGCTATCATTGGTGAGTGCATAACATTGGATAATATTCATTAAGATCCCCTCCTTCTTTGTTTTGAATGATGCTCTGATGATTCTGGATCCGTGAGATTCCCATCCTACAAGTGCATTTCGTGCTACTTTGGACAGCATAAGAGCAACTCCCTGAGTGTGTGGAGCATTGTCCTCTTCGTGACCGGAGTATAGTAGCATCTCTCCCGTATTTAGCCTTTGTTGTCCAGCTTGGGTCCAATGTGTTTCGCTGATTTCCAGTACTGCCAAGTTGTATCTCATTTCCTTTGCTATTTGACCGGTCTTCCCGGCCGCCCACATTGTTCGGACGTTCCATGTACCTATAAAAACTGTTGCTCTGGTTGTTAGAAGGGGCATCGGCCTCATGGCTTCCGAAAGAACTCGGCTTTCACCATGAAGCGTCATAATTCTTCTAAATGAAGACCTTCTAACTTTCAGGGCAGAGTTTAAATGGTTTGAATAATTTTTCCTGGTAAGCGTTTTTTTAGTGAGTTAGTTTCCTACGGGATGGGGTCGCTAACCCCATGCCCAACCCTCCTCCTTTACCCGGGCTTGGAACCGGCAGTTACTCTAGAAGAGCTACAGGCGGAGTTTTTTTTAAATATAACACCAAGAAAAAAATGTGCTAGGATATCATGACACAATTAAGTAGAACTTAATAACTAAGTAAACGTTTGCATACACTCCTTAGAGTAACACCTTGTTTGCTAAACCGAAGCATAAAAAGTGAGGTTGAAAATTGCTAGAGTCGTTGATATAGTTTCTTTGTTTTAGATTGAGACTGCTTGACAATGTAGACCGACGACTACACATGAGATCAAACCCAGGACCTTCACATTTCGAAGTGAGCGCTATGACACTAAAGAAAGTATTTAAAAGTCTATATGTGATGATGACCACCGCAAAAATTTTCACAACTCTTCATAAAACGATGTAACTTGCTTATCAATTCTTGCGATTGTTGTTTCAAATGATAGCACCAATAACAAACAAATCAACCGCAAGTTTTACCGCTGTACCATTAGTTTAGATTTACTGCAAAAACGTTAAACTGTACACCCACTAATGATTATCTGACACTAAAAAGATTGAAAATTAAAATGTATTTTAGTTTATCGAAAAAGAAAAACTATATGACATTTGAAAAATAATAACCTAATGTATGTGAAACATACTTGTTTTAGTATTTTCTGTTAAGCACCCTTCAATAATTGGACTAGTCAAGCCTAAATTACAGAGATTTTCTCGACTAGTAATACCAGTTGGTAGATATCTAGTTACAATTGATAATCCATCCTTTTGAATGCGTATCATTTCATCAGGTGAAACTGCTTTCCACAACTTTTGTGCATCACTGAGACATAAGGGTGTAATGGATGAATAATTAGAAGGTTCAGTTATATGCGGGCTATTTCGAACTAATATCTAGAAAACAGAGCAGTTTTTTAGAAATAAAACTTAAGGATAATGAGGACAACTGTTTTTAATCCTCATGACATAATTCGAATAATTAAAAGAATCAGCCTAAAACATGTCTTTATTTGTCTTTAAATAACGATTTGCGAAGTCATATAATCTGGTGTTAAAATAAATAAGATTGAAGACCAGCATGTATCTCTGCTTATAATGCTTGTGACTTAAAGTGATATCGACGAAATCCGCACAAAATGAACACATTAAGAGACTGATCAATCGAAGTCCTAAACATCAATGGGAAGATTCAAACAACTAATACAAAAACGAACTTACAATATACTATTTAGAGTAATAGTGATAATAATGAGTTTATTATTCTGTGTAATACAGGTACGAAAGTTTTTGCTCTTTTAATAATTTAGATTTATGATTGCTCCTCGAAAAATATTTAATACTTGATGGCGCTGAATCATAGAACGTCACCTGCTTTTCCTCTACTTATAACCTGAACCGTTTGACACAAGATACTTAATGTACGGAAATAGATGAATGACATTTTGTGCATATGGACTAGTGTCATAGGCGCAGTGAAACTAACTGCACTATAGATAAGTGAGTAAACCGAATTTCAGGGTTAATTAACATTTCTAATAAACCAATGCACCTTACAACTATGTACACATATACATACAAATATTACCGGTAAAGAAAAACAAACTGAAATTATAAATAAGACGATTCCTAGTACTGATTAGGTCTAAAAGGAACATTAAAGAAGAAACTACAAGGAATCTTTCTGTTTTTCTACTTAGGGTTTGTTTCTTACTTAAAAGCCATTAAGGTAGCTTAGATTTTATGAAATGCACAATATAATCTACATGTGTTGTTTTTACAATTTCAGACTACGTAAATCAAGAAACGGTGCCATTTATCATTTTTTTCGAGGTTTTACAAGAAAGGTAAAGAAGAAAACAGATGTGTGCCAGTTATCCCATGCAGTTATTAGTGCTACTACTAATTCTACTACTACAACCACTGCTACTATTAGTAGTAGTGGTAGTGCACTACTAAAATGACCAGATGTATGTCTTGAAAATGAGAACAGAAGTTATCTGTTGTTAAATGCGGAGAAAACACGTGAACTATATATATATATATATATATATATATATATATATATAATATATATATATATATAGTCATTGTGTACAAAGTCAACCATAAATTAATTCTGACGAACGATAAAGATAGATTATGTTACGAACACATGGTATTAAAATTAACAGACAATTCCTTCGCATTTATAAATGTATCCTTGTACATTTTAAAAGATAAAAACAATACCTAATCTCAGAAAATAATAATAATTACCTCCGAAGTACCAAGAAAATGCAACCAAGATCATTACCAGTATACTATCTATATATCTGTTTGTCTGAAATATAAATCTTATGGTATAGGATGGATTATAAGAGTTGACCTCTACCATAAAAATAACAAATTTACGAGTATATATTGATAGTTCCACGTTGAATATTATAGTGGAGGTGAGGGAGTTTAATGAATATAAACACCTATCTATTCCCGGGTTATTATTGAGGTAATTTTGAATTCGTCTTACATTTTAGGTATCCTTATATATCATGAGTGTTTTATCTGACAGCTGACAGGATTGTTTGTCAGTCATACATGCCGTTAGATGGCTGACTTTCTATGTTATTCATAGATTACTCGAGTAAGGTTGAAATTATATTTCGATCTTTGTAATTTAATTACTAGGTGATATGAAATTATTTTTCAAAATATATAAGACGATATTACTTTTTTAGCGATCCCGTGGAATTAACTACATTTCTAAAAGAACTTTAGTCAACCATTAATCTATATGACTAGAGATAAGTACGCGAACTATGTCAGTTAGTTACAATTAACATAAATCTTGATGCACATAAGTGTAGCCACAAAGTGCCCTACCACATCAAGATCAGATGAAGTCGATAAGATGAATATTAGTAGGGTCTATTTTACAGTACTATTGTGATGTGTGCTACTTATATTGACATAAGTAGTATATGATGTTAGTCGTGGAAAGAAGGTCTGGCAGCAGAGAGACATGAGGATCGAACAGTAAAGAATGGAAACAGGATGCAATTTGTATGAAAATCCAAGAGTCATTTTGAGACAATTGATGGACATTTTGCAAATTAAGCATTTACTTTATGATGGTTAGATTTTATTAACAAGTCCTGTAATTTTGTTTTAAATACATTCGATTGTCCCAACCCGTGTCCTGTTCACTACACCATCAGTGAAAGTGAGAAAGACCAAACATTAATAGATTAGTAGATTAGTAAAATGAAAAACTAGATAATACTTGAAGCAAGATAAAGAACGAACACATCGACAAAATGTCATCTTATGTGGACTCCGACCACGTAGTGTGCATCTACCAATACACCTCAATCCCACAATCAATGGCATCATGGACCGATGCCATGATATATAAAATATGATTAACTCACCTAACACAATATAACTGAACGACGAAGTACAAAGTTATGTGTGTGCCTTCGAGCCATACGCATCAGGTGAAGGCTCTTAATACCACTTAGTCATACAGATCAAACATGTGACGGGATTCTAGCATGCAAACAAACGGTTAAAAACTAAGTGCACTAATTACTAGACCATAGCACGAATCAAATTTAATGTTCACCATAGTCTGTGTGTAGTAATTGTTGGGATTTGGATAGAAGAACATTGTAACCTAAAAATATCTAAAGCTTCATGCACATAAGCCAAGAAAAGACTTTTTTCAAGTATCAGATTATTAAACATCGCAACTGTAAGCTTACTTTAGCAGCTAATCGACATTCTGCCACACGTTCGTTATAATATGATGTAGCAGCTTTGCGAGCGTGTACACCCGAATGAGCTATCACAAAAACCATATCAGACGGTAATTGAATAGGACTGACTGTGACAAATGGTTTGGTAAACTCAATCATTAAAGCCTACAAGGAAATAATATATTAGAAAAAAAGAATAAGTAAGCAAGGCACTAGGGAATAAAAAAGTTTTATTTTGATTTGTTTTGATATTATTCAATAAATAGACAAAAATCAATGATCTTACATTATTTTCAACTGCTAGAACACTTGCAGCTTGATCCATTCCACCACCTTGCATACCAATATATTGCTCACATTTCGCACATAAACTTGCTAATTCATGCTGGAGAGGAAAATTGAAATCAGAGAAAACTTTGAAGATCTAACTACAACGAAATCGCTAAGTATTGACACAAACAAATAATTTAATTTTAAAAATTTAATCGCAAGATTATTTACATAACAAATGACTATTAATGAAAGATACATTGAAAAGTGCGGCAGCAATGATTAACTTTTTAATTGCATTATAAGGTAGATAAGTAGTAAACGTACTTGCTACTTACATATATAAAAGACATGCTGTCATTTAACCGCCGCATCGCAATATTTCAGTCAACATTTTTCATCAAACTTCATTTGATCCAGATTATAGTGTGAACTTTCAGAGAATTCAAAAGATATTATGACTTAAACTAATAAAGATAATTACCAACTACTTTATGAATTTTCGAATTGTACTTCAAACGTTTTGAATCCAAGGTATGTGACAATAAATAAATAAATTGTTTCCGATTACTACTCATTTTCTTGATGTCTCCCTACACTTCCTGGCGCAATGTGTCCCTTGGTCTTCGTTTTTCCCGACTTCCTTCAGGATTCCAAGTTAGTGCTTGCCTCATGATACAGTTTGATGATTTCCACAATGTATGCTCAATCCACCTCCAACGTCTTTTCCTAATTTCCTCATCAGTTGGAAGCTGGTTTGTCCTCTGTCACAGTAGGTTGTTGCTGATGGTATTCGGCCAACAGACATTGAGTATCTTACGTAGACAATTGTTTATAAATAATTGTACCATTTTGATGATGGTTGTGGTAGTTCTCTGAGTTTCAGCTCCGTACAATATAACTAACTGTTTTGACGTTCGTACTGAAGATTCTGAGTTTGATATTGGTTGCCAGTTGTTTCGAGTTCCATGTGTTCTTCAGTCGTAGGAATGCTCCGCTTGCTTTACCAATCCATGCTTTCATATCTGCATCAGATCCCCCTTGTTTATCAATAACGCTCCCAGGTATGTTAAAAGTCTCCATATCTTCCAGAGCATCTCCATCAATTGTAGTTTGGCTGGTGCTCGTTGTGTTATATTTCAGGATCTTCTTGCCTTGTGAATGTTGAGGCCTATTGCTCCAGAGGTTGCTGCAACACTGTTTGCCTTCACCTGCATTCGTTTCTGTATACGGGATAGAAGATTTAAGTGATCCACAAAGTCTAGATTGTTTAGTTGCGTCCGAGGTTTCTATGCTTTCTCTCAGATGTGGAAGTCTTCTTAATCCAGTCAACCACCAGATGAAATGGAAAAGGCGAGGGCAAGCAAGCAGCCTTGTCTAATACCGATCTTCACTTACAATGAATCTGTGAGTTGTCCTTCATGCACCACTTTGTAGTGTAGCCGTCGTAAGAATTCCATATGGTGGTGAAGATCTTGTCAAGTACACCAGTGTCGAAGAGGGTTGTATAACGTCCCCCTATCGGCGCTTCAACCACTGCCTCATAGTCAGGGAAGTTGGTGTATAGTGATGATTTCCATCCAATTGATGGTCAAAAATGATCCGTAGTGTCACAATTTGGACTGTGTGATGCGGTATCCTTCTTTCCGGTCTGTCGGCACTTGTTCTCACTCCCGAATCTTTCTGAATAGAACGTGAAGCATGTTTACAGTTGCTTCTACGTCTGACTTCAGTACTTCAGCTGGTATGTTGTCGAGTTCTGCTGCTTCCCTACTCTTGATTTCTCTGATGGTCATCCTCATTTCTTCGATCGTTGTTGGGATGACATCTCTAGGGAGATCCGTGTCTGCTGCTTCGATGTCCGGTGGGTTCAATGGGGATGATCTATTCAAGAGTTCTACGAAATTTTCTAATCACCTGTCCCGCTGTTCGTGAATCTTAGTGTTGGTTTGCCTTGTTTGCTTTTGACGAGGCACTCTGGTTTACCATATTCCCATGAAAGCTTCTTCGTTGCATTATATGGTTGTTGCATATTTCCTTCTCTCGTAGCTTTTTCTGCTGGCGTTTCTAGGTCTTAAACGTATTAATGCTTGTCAGCTCTGATGCGCCTCTTCACTTTTTTGTTTGCTTCTGTGTATTTAGAGTATGCCTTGAATTTCTCTGCTCTTGCTCGGCTGTTGTTAATTGCTGTCTTCTTGTTCTTCCTTTCTTGAATCTTGTCCAGGGTTCCCATGGAGAACTATTCCTTATAATGTTGCTTCTTGCGGCCCAGCACATTTTGACACGTTGGGGTTAGTGTTGCATTAATCCATCTCAAGTTGTCCTCCATAGTAGTTTCATCTTTGAGTAGATCTTGTGAGGCTTGGAACTTTTTGTTGAGAACTATCTTGAATTCCTTGAGTTTGTCAGTATGTCGAGGCAATTGAATTGAACTTTTGTAATGCTGTTTCTCCAGTTGTCCAATGTTTCTTTGGCTTCATTTTCATCTTTGCAACCACCAGTTGGTGGTGATATGAAGCTATGCCAACTCCTCTCCTGGTTCTCACGTCTTCGATTGACATTCTGAATGTTTTGTGATACAGATGTGATCGATGAGGTTCTCTGTAGTGTGGTCCGGTGAGATCCACATAGCTTTGTGTATGCGTTTGTGTGGGAATATTGTGACGCTCATAACCATTTTGTTGAATGCACGTGGGTCTGCAAATATGTCACCATTCTCATTTCTTCCTCCCAGTCCTTGTCGTCCCATGATACCTTCATATTCGGCGTTGTCCATGATCTTTGATCCATGAGATTACCACCCTACAAGTGCTTCACGTGCTTCTTTAGACCGCATCAGTGCAACTCCCCGGGTGTGAGAACAGCAGCATCTCTCCCGAAGCTAGTCTTTCCTGTCCACCTTGGGTTCAATTGGTTTCAATTAATCTAAAGACCGCCAAATTGTATTTCCTCATTTCCTCAGCTATTTAACTTGTCCTCCCAGTCTCCTACATTGTTCGGACATTTCATGTTCCTACATTAATTGTCGTCGAAAAGGGATCGGCCTCGTGATTTTCGAATAATCTTGGCTATTACCATGAGGCGTCATAATTGTTCAACTTCCATGGCAGAACTTAAATGGTTTGAGGATTTTTAGCAAGGTGTTTTTCAACAGGATGTGGTTGCCGACCCCATGCTCAACCTTCCTCCTTTATCCAGGCTTGGGACCGGGAGTAACCACAGAAAGGCTACAGACGGAGTTTTATTATATCGAACAAATCTATTGTTATCGCTACCATTACATATGTAGAAAGCAGTAAATTCTAGTTGTTTTAGGGAAAAAGGAAAATAATCGTAGACATAATATTTAAGATGGAAGCACAAAAGAAAACTTTGTTCTCTTTATTTACAACTTTTCTACTTTCCACTTACTCTACTTATTTGTAAACCAGATATTCGCATAATTGCTATGGCAGAAGCAACTACGAAAGCGCTACTGCTTGAAAGACCAGCAGCTGGCCATAAACCACCATATTCAACATCACCAACTAGTACATTTAGACTAGGAGGAGTCCAATCCTATTAAAAATTAAACAATGAATAAGATTTTCAATTCACAATTCAAAAATGTATCCAGTCTGTAAGAGTAAATCAACGAAAACTATGATAAGAACTCACTAATTAACTAGACAGCACAATAGCACAACCGCATAAACGTGTTGTCAATAACTCACTTTGTTTAAATTTTCGACAAAACTATCATGTTGTCATAACTACACTCTAACCATTTAGGCAATAGTATTCGCTTCACTTCCACCGAAGTTGACTGATTAACATTCCAGTATTTTGTTCCTTTTACCTTACATTAGATTAGATTATATTAATCTAGAAAAATGATACTAATCAGACCTCGGAAAAACCACATGGTTTAAAATAAGCACGTTATGAAGAATGTGTCAAAAAATACTTGAAATTAGGCGGCCTTCATCTTGTATTGAATCAAGTGCTTCTTTGGTCTAAATGTTACAAACTCACCATGCACAGCAAGAACAAAAGAGTTTTTCTAAATGTGATGATTTAACGCAGAGGATAGTGAAGCAGTTACACGTACAGCCAACATTAGTAGTCGACAAAAGTGAACGGAAATAGGTTAATATAATGCCACAACAGAATGTCCTTTGTGTGAATAAACAGTAAGTGAGTGAAATTAAGAGAAAATTTAGTTTTTAAGAACATTTAAACAGTGGCAGTAGAATTCAAATATTATCATAACCTCCGTGTCTAAAACTTTAAAAGTTAGTCTGCCGATCTGATGTACTAACTTAGAACAATTAATTACATTAACATTTGTAAGGATATGACTGGAATTTCTACTACGACCACTGTTATTGAATTTCTTATCAGATGATCAGTTTACACCCATACTATATAATTGAGCAGTGAAGTATTACCACAAGCCCTTACACAATAGGTTTAGCTTTTAGAGGCTTACATAAGTTTGTTATGGATAATGATGACCTGAAATGTTGAAACAAAGCTGACAAGAGATGTGCTGTCATTAGAAAAAGACAAACGGATATATGAACGTACCAAATTCAACTTGTCTACATAGTCTTTTATTCCTCGATACGCGCACTGAAAATAATGAAACCACTCAGGCGAGTCAGGCGATCCTTCACAACCAAATGTTATGGCTTCTGTAATCGGAATTTTAATAGGCCTATATTGGGTACAAGGATTGAGGAATAGAATATTTCAACTGTAAACGTTAGTTAGAACTGTGTGAAAACACCGTAATTTTAAACTTAGTCTGTGAAATAATTTGTTCACGTGTTTTCACATAAACACTATTAGTCTTTAGTGTGCATATAACAGTGGGCTTATGAAGAAATGGGAGTTTATAAACGGTGTAGATACTTCACTGTAGTATAATCCCAAACATAGTTTTGTTAGGCAAACAGACAAGTAAATAAGCGCTCAACCCAAGAAAATAATGGATCGATGCAAATATATGTATTTCATGCGCACAAACTCAGTGAAAATCAACATACTGAAGACATAATGAAAAACAAGAGCAATAAGACGAAATGGAAAAACTGTAAGGAACAAGTTAAAACGAATGGAAGTGTTATATCCAGACGAAGAATAAGTGAATAGTAAACGCTAGGATCTATTTATGGACTGTTATTACATAATATTATTATTACTGTTTAACTAATGAGTAACTATGTTTTATGTATATTCATATTCCTTTTATTATAAGCTTCCATTTCACTATTATTATACGATTTACTATTATTAGATTGTTCCCAGTTTATTATTACAGTGAACATTTGAATCTCAGGTGGATGGTTTTGATGGAGTAATATTTTCTGAGCTGGATGGTTTGGTCGTGGAGCTTTCATCGTTGTTCTGAACGACATCATCAGCAGCATAAAATTCAGGTAGAAGTGAAGTGTTCGAATTTATCCATATTTGGCTCATAGCTTGTCCTGTAGACCTCGGTCTTGATTGGTTATTGTTCACCCTTAACCTTTCATTGTTTACCTCTTTATTTTGATTATATCGGCCACTGATTCTATTCCGATATACTCGAGTCTCCAGTTTTCTTGTGTTGGTTCTGGTCCTATATTTGCCCATAATTTTTCTGATTGACTGGTAAATTGGATGGATTTCAATGTGTTTGTTGATGGCTGATTAACCTGAGTGCCAAGCTTCTAAAATTCTCTAGTGTTCTTAGAATTGCCTCTATGCAAGATCTCAGCGTTTTCCCAGTCGAATGTCCGTCCACAGTTGTCCAAAAGCATTGATATAAGCGAGGATGTGTCATGGCGTTTGACCGCTAATTGATGTTCATGCAGGCAAAGATGAAGGTGACGTCCGCTTTGTCCGATTTAGTGTTTTTCGCAGTTAAAACTATTTATTTTGCAGATGATGTTCGGTTTTTCTTCTTTTGTCCTTTCTTCCTTTGATTTGTGTAGGATTGATTGAAGTGATTTTGTTCGTTTGTGTACCACACCTATTCCAAGAGGCTCCAACAATGTCGCTACAATTCCTGATATGCCTTTTACATATGGTAGGATGATCCATTTGTTGGTTCCTATACTTGATTTTGTTTCTACTGAGGCGTTTTGTTGGTATTTTTTTGATGAAGTTGGTTAAATAGCCGTTTTTTGGGAGATTGTCTTTAGATATTAATTCCATTTTTCTGCGCTGCAAGTGTGTTGTAGTGTGTCCTCGCCCTCCTAAACGAAGTTCGTACGCAGTTGATTTTGTGGGCTCTACTGCCGTTGTTACTGTAACTGAAAATTTGATCTGTGTGGAGACTCAAGTATATCGGAAGCCGTCCATCTCATAGAACAAAACTCCATCAAAATTATAGTATCTCACATTCACAGCCACTTTGGACCTGCTCTTGTATAATTGTTATTTTCTATTTTATAGTAAAATCCGGTCCGATTTGCTTGTAAATAAACTGCGTGTCTCTGAAATACATGATTCATGTGGCGGAGGCTGATATTGGTGTTCTGAACTGAACCGTCTGGAGAGAAGCTAATATCTCGGAGGTCCAATACGAACTCACAGCTGACCCTAGGTTGTCCGTACTGGTGTTGTTGGGGATGTTAGATCCCCAGACCTCACTTGGTAAATGCCTTAATTTTATAATTTTATGTTGGGAATTTAAATTTTCTTGTTTTCGAGCCAAAAGCGCACTTTTCACTTTCATGTCGTATTTCCCACTTGGGAGAATCTTTAACGCTATTGAACAGTTGTGTATTTTTAGTACGCTATTTTTGCTACGCTTCCCAAGGACAGTTTTATGCTGTATATATACGTTTGATTTGTGCCTGTTATTATTCACTCGCGTTTCTGGCTTACGGAATATACTTACCCGTTCCAAGCTTGGACTTCTTCCTCTAGTTAGCGGGGCTGGGACGCATCAAATAGCTAGCTTATTGGTCTACGGTCACAAGTCTTTGTTCCGTTCGCATACTAAGTGAACTCGTAATAGCTTCAAACCTAGCAGGTTTATGTGCCATCGGTTCGGTCAATAAGTCGGTGTTTTTATTGGCGATGGTATAACATAATAACTGACAAGCCATAACAACAAAAAATGAGCGAAAATTAATGAATATTAAGAGTAACTAGAGACAAGGGTTGTTTGATAAACACGAAGGCCTACAAAATAAATATATCCTTCAATCCATTACGACATCCGCCGATTTCTTTTTACACGCCTAATATTTTGTACATAAAGGTATTGTTTCGCTAAAGAACAAAAATATTCTGTTGGATAGCTCTTTTGTTTCAAATATCAGTTTATTAGAGGCATCTTGTTTATTATTCGGTCTCATAAACACGATTTTATGATTGTTTATCATGTACTGAAATGATCTTATCCATCATAATAACAATATCAAAACACACTTCACATAATGCACTCAAACACTCACCCATTACAATGACATCAAATAATTTTATACACTAGCATATGCTACTTATAATCTCTTAGTAGTTGGAAATCCAAAATAAAACATTTTAAGGCATAATTTCGAAAACAATGACTATATATATATATATATATATATATATATATATATATATATATATATAACGAAAGTTTAACGATTAATTGCTGTGTACAATGAATGGTCTAACCATCTAAAACGATAAATCTCAAGCTGAGAGTAAATAGATTTCTTTCTAGTAAACCAAAACAACCTGTAAACTTCAACACTTAATTTCCTTTACAATTGATTGATCACTGGTGACCAATGTCATCTATGTCAGGTCCTTCCTAGTGCAGATCGAATCCTATCGACCAAGTTGCAATGTGGCCACCTATCTAGGTTACTCGACATTTAGTGCACTATGTTGATATAAGATGGTGGTTGGAGGTAGTCAACAGGAAACCCTGGGCCTAGGTTTCGTGCTAATTGGCACTCATCACCAAGGTGTTTCTGTAATTCTAAGGGAAATGATACTCACAGACGAATTTGATCCGGTGTCACCCATATTCACCGTCAGAGACGTTACCAGTGAGCTATCCGGGCCGTGACTGACTTCCTGTAGGACTGAGATGTATTTACAATTGATTGATCACTGGGTGGTGATCAATTTCATGTATGTCAGGTCCTTCTTATTTTCTAGTACCACAGAGCAGCACAGAAGCAGAATTAAAATGATGACCAAAACTACCTGTATTGAGTATCTGTGCTTCTAAGAACGATCCTATCCAAATCAGATCCAGATGTTGGACCTACAGACATATAAACTGCTTGTTCTAACGCCATCGGTAGTACAGGATAACCATTATAATCAATATGTTCACCTGGTTATTAAAAGAAACAAAAACAAAGGCATAAAGCAAACTTATTACAAAATGTCTAAAAACATAATTAATGATCGATAGCATTTAGTTTTCGGAAATTTACTTGTTTACTAAAGAAACTAGCCACCATAATCATTCAGAGTTGATTTCTTTTTATAATGTTTTAGAAAATCGAAACTAGATTTCATTGTGACCAGCCAATGATAGATATCAAGTGTAACCCACGATCACAATATATGTATTTGAGACGTAGAAGTAAAAATGAATGGAGTCAGTATAAAATGAAGAACTACGAAATTAAATTAAGAAAGGAATCTAGAAAAGAACCTGGTTACTACGTAAGCTTTAAAGGAAAACATCTGTCCTCCATGCTTCAAACCCAGTGAACTTACAATGATTACAAAAAATAACAATAAGTTTTTCACTGTGATGGTGAGAGGTATATTGTGGTGCGCGCTGCTTATATTGATATAAGTAGTATATGACGCGAGTCAGGAATGTAATGTCTGGCAGCAGAAGATGGGGGAAGACCAAGAAAGGAAGAGCGGGAATAGAATGCAATCTGCATGAAAATGCAAGGACAATAAAGTCTGAGGCATTTTGAAACAACTGGTGGACATTTTGCAAATCAACGATTTGATATATGGTTCTCAGATTTTATTGAGATGCTCTGTAATTCTGTTTTAAATATATGCGATTGTCCCCACCCGTGTTCTTGTTCACTACAATACAATTAAGAGGCATATAATTAAGACTCATTTTCTACTCCAGTTATATAAAAAAAGACAATTTTGTGGATATTTGATGAGTACTGATCATTAACAAATTGCACACAGAATAAAAATTCTTTTTGATCAACTTTAAGCTTGTTTTAATTTCTTTATCACTTATATTTGTTTATTTCAATATTTTAAATCAACTCAACTTCTACAGCTAACCAAATTATTTTCAGTCATTTGAACGTAAAAAAAAGAAAGTCTGATATTAAAGGCCAAAAACACAAAATAAATAAATAATACTTTCAATTGATTGTTAATCTGACAATGCACATTCTGTATTGTCACTCAATGTTAGCAAATACAGTTAAACCTTAAAACTTCAATCACGTAACATTAACAAATAGACTCATCCTCTTCTGACTTATTTATTCTAAGTGATTTGTAAGATAAGTGTCACATTAGGAAAGGCAAATAAGATGAATATCAGTAACACATTAAATCTTCAATACCACAGGACATAATTTATGAACTTTCATCATAATAGATGGTTTTTCATACATTAAAGAAAAGTACCTGAAACAAGTCATCAATACCAATAACTAAATAACTACAAATAGTAAGATTTGTTGCAAGCTTATCAAAACTGAGATCACTATTATTACCTAATATATTTCTCGAAGTTTTCCATCGTAAGCGGAAAAACTTCACATACGTTTAACAGTGAGATCCAGTTAAAAGCGAAAGGTATGGAATATTCACAGATGTAACGATCGGGAGCTGGAGTTCATTCATATAGGCTTTAACAAACTAAATAACATTGTAGGTCAGGCAACTAGTGGTAGGTGTAAATAAAGAACTTTCACAGATGATCCTAACAATTGTCAAATAAAACCACAGGAGAAAATGACGTTCGAAATTTCGGACAAGTCAAACATTATTTTACAAAAATTACGCCTCATAAAGGAACAAACAACTTGAGTACAAAAACCTTCTCCCGTAATACTAGTTAGTGAGACAATGATATCTGGTTGCACTATGTTTATTTATAATTTTTTAATAAACGGAATACACCCATTATGACATTAAATAAGAAAGAAAGATTAGTTCAGCGAAGAGTTCTCTTTTCGGCGAATTCATTTTCAAAGCTGTACAATCGAAAATATATATACTTATTTTTACAGGGTGATAATAATACTGATAATAAACTTATGATATACCTGGTGACGGTGAGGTTAAATAAACAAAGGTATTAGAAAAATTTTTTTAAAAAACAAGGAAAGTTTGATAGTTAATGGCTTAGATATTCATCGGGTAAGAGTAGCTCAGCATGATAAAATAACATAAAATGTTGAAACAGAGATGAAATGTAATCGGAATGATCGTTGAAATAAAAACAAACCGGTTGGGGGTACAAGATTTGAAGGGAAGATGGAAGGTGAAGCAGGTGGCTGTAAAAGAACAAGAGTAATGAGAAAGAGAAAAAAAATTTTAATACATTAAGACCACGGTAAAAGAAGAGGTTGTACCAGTCTCTTTTGTACACATAATTCAGGTTTTTCAAAATGTATGGCTATTGCCTCGGCAATGCAAAGGAGATGTAGTCTAATTGTCTTAGGAAGGTTTCTACTTACCTTGTAGATGACTTTGAACGCAGAGTCTGTCTTGATTGAGTGACTTGTGTTCACAAGGTGTTCGATTATAGAACTTCTTATTGAGCCACTGCCTCCTCTTCTTAGCCACGCCGGACAATGTTCTTGAATTCTTTTGGATAAAGTACGCATTGAACGACCTATATACCTAGCTTCACCGTCACCAGGTATATCATAAGTTTATTATCAGTATTATTATCACCCTGTAAAAATAAGTATATATATTTGCGATTGTACAGCTTTGAAAATGAATTCGCCGAAAAGAGAACTCTTCGCTGAACTAATCTTTCTTTCTTATTTATAATTTATTGAAACTACAAAAGTTACTTAAGAAGTGTTCGAATACAATTTATGTGTGCAGCTTATTTGCGAAAAAACCAAGACCACAAAGTTGCCAGACTGAAATCGGAAGTTGCTGATTAGCAAGAAAGTATTGTTTAAAATCATATGTTGCTAAAACCAGACATGAGACCATAAAATATAATGTAGACAAAAAAATGAATCAAATTCGAATATTTGAAAGTCTGCTGACCTAACTAAGCCATTCATATCTTAAGAATACCTAACGAAAGCTTAATTAAAGTCAAATAACTGATGTTCACCAATGAGCCTTACTTGAGAAGGGCTCTACAAGTTATTATTTGCTATTATGTATACACGCTTTTTTCTTCAAATTCTGCTTTGCTGAAACGCTCAGATTATGATTTTTAGTCAACTATTTGCTGTGCTACTGTATGTTTCTAACATCCTAACTATTATTTTCAGATTTCAAATAGCGTATCATCTCTAAACCAATATTTATGAAGAATAACGCTAAACAAAAAAAGTTGGAAGAATCCAAACCTCCTTACAGTAAATGCTAATGGATTGTTATCATAGTATATAGTTAACTCTTCATCCAATATAACCAAGTGGTTGAAGTGAGCATTCTATACCTCCTTCTAAATGGACATAAATATGTCTAAAATGCAAACTGTTAACTTACCAATAAGATTAACTCGACCAGGAGCTCGAACTACAAAACTGCATTCTGTACCAAAAGTGTGATGAAATTCATTAGATAACTTGATGGCGATATCGGTTGGTTTATATTCAGGAATGAAATCACCATCACTCATTTTCAACCTTTGGAACACATAGAAAGGCAAGATATCTTTATTATTACGAAATATAATTTTGAGAAAGCTTTATAGTTTGTTTTTAATCTCTGTAAAAGATTATTATTTCTTTATTTATTTGAACACATAAATATTGGTACAAGGGGGCACCAAATATATATACGCCACACAAAACAATGAGAATGGGGAGAAAAAAGGCAAGGAGTGTAAAAGAAAAAAAAGAGGAAGAGGAACAATAACGACCAGATTAATGTAAGGAAGTGTAATAATAATAATAATAATAATAATAATAATAATAATAATAATAATAATAATAATAATAATGGGGGAAACGGAAAGGTAGAACCAGAAGAAATCTTTCAGTTAAGGAAGATACAACCACGTTTTATGAAGAAAGTAAAAGAAGGTTACAGCAGGATCGCCACTGGCTTCTATTCTGAGCCATATCTGATAACGTCTCTAGCCACTGTGTTGCACCATCTCTAGCACCCCAACTATGAAGTCGTGAAGGACCAACACAAGCCAGTTCTTTGCAGCTTTCTTTCATACCACGACACCATGTCATATACTGACCACCTCTCCGCTTTTCCCAACCAGTCCCAGTGTCGGCAAATAATGCACGACGTGGAATTCTTTGTGACGACATTCGTAGAACATGTCCAAGCCACCGAAGTCGGTGTTTCAAGATGGTGACACCAATTGAATTATCATCTCTGTGCCCGAACAAACGATGCCGAACCTCTGCATTACTGACATGGTGTTGCCACTGGATGTCAGCAATCCTTCGGAGACAGCGATGATCGAACACAGAGAGTCGTCTAACGTCCTCAACTCGGAGAGACCAGGTTTCACAAGTATAGAGCAAAACTGCTCTCACCGACGCGTTGTAGATCCGACCTTTTACAACCAGACTTACATCACGAAGGCGCCAAAGGTGGCCGAGATTGGCATAAGCCGCTCTGGCTTTCACTATATGTGCATTGATCTCATCACTCACGCCATCACCAGCACTTATGCAGTTACCCAAATACACAAACTTATCGACTACTTCTATCTGCTCACTATACAGGGTGAGTACAGGATCAGCGTCCTGCCAGTCTTGTAAAAGTACTCTGCACATACCGTACCTACGGACATTGATTGCCAACTGATTAAGTGCGGATTGCATGCCTTGGGCATAATCACACAGTAAGACAATATCATACGCATACTCAAGGTCGAGAAGTCTTTCTCCAGACAATAGATCCACACCGCCATTACTTACATCCATCAAACCTGTTTCCAGAATGTCGTCGATGGCAACGTTGAAGAGGAATGGTGAGATTGGGCAACCCTGTCAAACCCCACTGCTTGAATGGAACAATGGAGAAAGTGTTAATCCGAGTGGAGATTAAATTACAGGTAACTTCCGAGGACTATTCATGGACTAATATTCTTATTGCATAACTATTCAACAATTACATTATGTATATTTGTATCCCTCTTATGACAAGCTTTATTTTGGCCTATAATTTATTATTGTACGATTTACGGTTCTTAAGTTATGTTCAGTTTATTAACTACTGCCTCCCTCATTCACAGCCACTTCTTGGGCTTATTTGTGTACAAATATTATTTCCTATTTTATGGTACGTTGCGGTCTGTATGATTGATATATAAACCAAGTATGCCTGAAATAAACGATCTGCTCTGATTCGGAAGCTGGTATCTTGTTCTGGACTCAAGTGGAAGGGCTCGTAGGACATAGGACCAATAAGGACGCTAAACTGCCCACACCGGTTGAACGTCATTGGTTGGCCTAGTGTGAAGATTCGTATAAGTCGTATCTCGGATTGGTAGATAAATCGCGTGATAGCAAAAACAAGACATCCAAGGTCATAACAGAGAGGTGGTTGTATGCCCTCACTCTGCCTAAGGTCTTTGTATATAGGGCTTTTAGGATGTTAATAAACTTCTCAGGCACACCCTTCTTCAATAGACAATCCCAGAGAACAGTGCTATTCAACGAATCGAAGGCAGCCCTGATGTCAAGAAACATTACGATTGTTGGCCTTTGATGAGTATGACGGTGTTCTAACATTTGGTGGAGGGTGAAGATATGATCAATACATCCTCGACCAGAACGAAACCCAGCCTACTCCTCGCGAGTCAATCTTTCTCGAGTTTTGAACAACCTACGAAATATGACGGAAGCCAATAGCTTGGACGCAATCGGAAGTAGACTTATCCCCCGATAGTTGTTACAGGTACGACGTGAACCCGTTTTAAAGATAGGGACAACTATCGACTCATTCCACGACGTTGGTACACTCTCTAGTTCCCAGACCTTTGTAAACAACGTTGTCAGTTCCCTAGCCAGAAAGTCACCACCGTCTTTAAAAAGAGCCGGAGGTAAGTCATCTGGGCCTAGTGATTTGTAGCGCCTCAAGAGTTGAAGTTCCTTGCGGAATTCCGCCTCGTTTGGTGGATCGGTCGTCACCGACCATGGAGGGCAGGACAGTCTGACCGATGTTGCAGGAGCAGCAGGCCAGTTGGACTGCCCTTCGAAGAATTCAACCCATCTTCCAAGACGTCGATGGATGTTGGTGATTGGCATCCCATCATCCTCGCAGATTGTTTCACTCACACCATACTTCTTGCCGCCAGTGGCTCGGATGAGTTGGAAGAGCTTCCGGTAGTTACCAGATGCAGCTGCTGCTTCCAACTCATTAGCACGCTTCGACCACCAGGCTTCTTGGTCCTTACGCAAGCTTTGCTCAATTTCCTTACGTAACATCCTTCGTTTATGGTCAAACTCACGGTTACCCGGAGTAGACCGACGGGCTTCAATGAGTTGTAAGGAACCAGAAGAAACCCAGTGCTTATAAACGGGACGTTTCGCGAAGCCGCAAGAGGCCTTACTCGCCATTTTCATGGCGTCGTGAATTTGCAACCAATGCTCGTCTATACATTTCGCTGGATTGGTAGCTAGCCTAGAAGCTAGCTCAGTTTGATACTTGCTAGCAACAGAAGTAGCAACCAACTTGCTGACATCAATCCTTTGGTGGCGGTCATTTCGTTGGCAACTGAAAAGTAAGGTAAGATTGGCGCAGACCAAAGCATGGTCAGAGTCCAGATAGGTACTCCAAAAGGAGCGGCAGTCTTGTACGCAACCACGCCAGCGGTAGCTGATCGCGATGTGATCGATCTGAGTCCAGGCTTGAGATGCAGAGGTAGGACGCCAGGTGGCACATCGGGGATGACTGTGCCGAAAGTTAGTGCTAGCCAGAAACAGGTCGTGGTCTGTGCATAGTTGCAGTAGACGGTCCCCGTTATCTGACCTGCGACCAACAAGTCCCCATCGGCCACCTAAACGATTGTCTTTTGTGCCTAGACACCCAACCTGAGCATTCAAGTCTCCGGCTAGTACTGCAATATCTGTCGAACGCACTTTCTGGAGAAGAACAGTTAACTGGTGGTAGGATTCATCCTTGATTGCATCCGGGCTGCAATCTGTCGGGACATAAGCGGAGGTGACGAAAAGACATCGTTTCTCACGCCGATTTCTTCTCACTTTGACGGAACTTTCTAATCTAACAGCACATAACCGACTGTTAATGGAAATCCAATCGCCATCTGTAAAAGATATTCGAACTAATAAGCTGAAAGTTACAACAAACTAAGGGAATTTCAAAACTGGATAATACTAGATTATTTAGATCGTTAATGCCGTTCATCTAGTTATCTTTACCTTGATGTCCCAATGTAGCATAACAAATTAGACTAACGTATATTTATTTATTGCTCGCTGATAACGAGTAACAAACGTAATCCTCATATCACTAAAAGAGTTAATATTGTTTATTCAAAACCTGGAAAATTAGTAAAATTTAGGCATCATCAGTCCTGGACGAATATGTGTACTAGGCTATGAGGCGTTTAATTTGTATTACTGAAACCTTAACTGTTACCAGAATTTCGGAAATCGGGAAAAGGTTGTACCTTAGACCAACTGGTTGTGATTTGAGTGTCTAGATTTATTACTTAGGTGAAGAAATGAGGATACCAGTTTCGAAAACATCCTAACAAAAACTCGTAAAAAACAGCTTTAGAAGGATAGGTAAATACCCATCAAATACCTGATTAGCTAAACGCTGTAAACTTTTATCGAACTAAGTTGTCACTATAGACGGCAATATACAAAGAAGTTCATAAAAAGAAATTTACATAAGGGAAGGAAATTATTTCGGATGTTTATATGACTAACTGGCAACCTAATAAGCCAACACAAACACTATCCCTATGTTATATTTATTCGATCATAAGAAATTTTATCATCAAAAGGCAAAACACAGTGCATAACATTCAGACCTATAATCAAACCATAGTTGAAAATTACATACTACTGGCGACGCTAGCAATACAGCATTCGACTACCATAAATAACAGATAATTTTGGTGAACATAGTAAGAGTAGTGTCAATAAGTCCTTTTTTATCAGTGAATGGGATGAGAACGATGCAAGAAAACGCTATTTATAAAGCTGTTTCTTTCAGACTATCCTAGACTGTATAAGTAAACTAACAGAATTTCCAGTTATGTTCAACATAGTGGGTAGAAACATACCAAATGATGCGATTTGACAAACGTTAGAATTAACGGAAAAACAAGGACTTAAAACTCTTGTTTATGCATCTTGGACGGTTGGTAGCAAACGGTAACTAAGCGACTTAATGGCTAATGTAATATTGTATCTTAGTGACAAAGTTCAGTTATAGGACTTTGGTGGTACACAAATGTCGTTTTGAAACTAATGTCCCGCCAAATAGGTTAGACTCTCAGACGTATCCACGGCTTGATAGAGCTACTTCTCAAATTCACCTATTATAATAACACGTCCTTCCATATAGGCATTCCGGTTGTATTTGTAAGGCGCGAAACCCAGATCCGATCATTTATCTAGGTTTATCTAGCCAGCGATAAGTTTCAACCAATAACCCAATAATAGACCGATATATAGTGAAGCTATGTACATAGTTTCCGCATACGATTGGAATACAATTGTCGGAAATTGACAACAAAAGTCTCTAAATATTTGATTATTATTGTACCGGTGGTACTAAGTGCAGCTGACCGGAGAAAACAGCCGAATAACGTTCAATTAGGGCAATAGATTCTGTTTATACGATTATTAGTTTGGATCAGTTGTGTCTGAAACACTTAAAAATCACTGAGTAGTAGTTTGAAGAACATAAATACACCTGAACTAGTTACCCATGACGTTTTGAGATGATGGTAATCACTGACTTGAAACTGTGAGCAAACCATGACGTTTGAACAGCTAAGCTATTTAGTTAGGTTGGTCCCAACAGCCAATGCACAGTTATCTTTGTGATCATGAAACAGCGAACTGGACTGCCTAACTGAGTCAAAGTTAAAAATTCATACAGATAATGTACAGTGAATCAAAACAATTGTTATTTTAGCCATTAGTTAACTGACCAGTAAGAGTTATTATTACTTCACAAGAATCCTAACGAAATATTTAATCTTACCATATAATTATAGGTATAATCACCACGAATGGGGATATAGGTATAAGGTAAGAGGTTTGTAAAATACTGCAACATATTTCAATTTAGTGTGCATTGTTGAGTAAAGGGTAAGTAGTGATAACATGTTTCTAACGATGTTATAACACAATAGTTAACAGGTATTAACCTCGTATATGTGGAACAAGTAGATCTTATGGAGTACGCATTTTAATGACGCATAAAAGAGGAGAGCTAGTATCACTAATCCACCCCATAGGTAGGGTCTTTTTCATTCCAGGCGAGAAGACAGGGAATCGGTGTGACACCACCATCTGTAAGGGGTGACTAGATATTAAAATTCCTATCTAGCAATCATAAACATTCTAAATCACGAAACACAGTCACTCGTTTGTACTTTAAAATACATAAAAACTGGCTGTTTACCTGTACCTAAAATTTCAGAAATAAATCTCTAGTGATTGAAATAGAAAATACGATATCAAAAACATTATCTTGAAAAGTGCCAGTACACAGTACACATGGTAGCATACGTATAGACATTTCGTCTTATTTAATTCACATTGCAATAAAATAAAGTTTGAGCCACCCTATGATAAAATTTATTGTCAGATATATTAACTGTAATACAGGACTGTGGTTTTAGGGGAGGATCTTCAGGTGTGAAGCGGTTTAAATGTAGCAGTGAAATAATCCAACTCTTGAGATCTTCGTATAGCAAAACCTGAGGACGAAAATTACGGTCAATAGAAATTATGAGAAAGAAGTAATAGTTACTTTGGACTCCTAGATATGTTCACGATTGACAATACGTTTGTACGCCAAAAGGGTTACCTACATGATTTATGTAATCCTCTTATTCGGTCCAGAGTGGTAATTAAAACACGACAGAGTTTATCATGATGAGTGTTTCATGGTTAAACACGGCAATGAATCCGTAAAACAGCTAAGAAACCAATGAACCACAAAATAGTAACGTCCATACGGCAGTGAAGTTAATCAATAGTTGAATGTACCTATATGTGGACCGGATAATCATCAAATGAAACTAGTTGATCTTAAAACAACCATTACTATGACAATCAGTCAATAAACTTACTCAGAGAAATGATGGTAAAATTGTAGTGTAGACGAATTTATTAGAAAACCTAAAGTAAAACAATGCAGTGAAATAGCTATTTTTAGAAACCTTTATGTTCCATAACAAAGTAGTAAATGTGTATAGAAGTGGTTACTTGCTTTCAGACAACATTTTTCTGGTAGAAACTTGTTACCTTTGAAACTAATATGTAGTCAGAAAATTTTTCTCGGAAACAGTTGTCAGAACAAGATCATCTATATCCAATAGATATCTGAGACATTTATGTAGCTTGAGAATGCTTTGTATCACGGATTGGTAACAGCTAAAATACGAATGTAAATTAGACAGCACTGGGTAGCTATTACCCTAGTTTGAGACCCTTCGTTAATGGACCTATGTGACCACATGGGGTTGTACATTTAACTTCCAGGTTTTGCAACAAGAATACTATAGTTAACTCGACAAATGTGGTTGATTTGAGTCACAGAGTGGTTATCACATAATGTTCTGAATAAGTTACTGTTTACTCTTGATTTAATTGACTATATACATCAAAGATTGTCATCGGAACTTCGGGAAATCCATTCCCAAGTTAGTTATGCACAAATGACTGGTAGGATATGGAGAGAATATTTAATATAGTTAGGCTAATTGATAATAGGAAGCTAATAAGGACGAGCTTATATAGATAACTACATATTATAGAATAAACAGGCAGAGAAGCTAGTGTTACCAGCTGTTTATTTCCCTTCAGAATCCGGGCTTTAGCTAAACAGACGAATAATGAAACCTAAATATGCCACAGATATTTGGTGTTTGACAACGGCTTTACACGTAACACCTTCATAATCAAAGTATACCTACCCAGTCAGAAGTCAGAAATGAAGAGGTTCATATATTAGGAAGACCATCAACATCGACAAGCGTCTAGCCTAGGCTGGATAACAGTTTCAAGGGACGCGTAGCGTGGCGTACCCATTCGTAATCTGGTGCGGATAAGTGACCGAGTGCCTTCAGCTAGGTGTGTCCAGTAAAGCTAATTGAATCAGCATCCGTGTTGAAGACTTACAAAACTATTTATTTTGGGGATTTGTTTACCGTGACAAATCATCTGTTAAATTGTACATAGATACCTAAAGATTTGAAGAGTCCACTGGGAATCCCATACTCTATGGACGTACAGATGAAATTAAAGATGCCAAGTTCTGAGTTGTGGAGCAAAACTCATCCATTCATACGACTGAACAGCATTTTGGCATTATGATTGATGCTAGTAAGTGATGAAAACCATCATATCAATTCATAACCTTAAATTCTAACTCCAAGTATTAGTCTTTACATTCCTATTCCTTACATTAATTTATAAACCGCTTTGCACCCTAGTAAGTCAGTGAGTTACCTCAAGGTCACTTCAGAGTCACTTAAAGGTCGTCCATACACGACAGTACTACAAAAACACGTAATGTGAATAGTGAGTAAAAAGTTCAACTACAAATATATATATATACATATATGAAGTAGAAATTCTGTTTCCTTATACAATTCTTTGTAACCATCCTTTATTATAACTTTTTATTGGGTATAACATCCAACTTATACTCGAGTCCTAAGAACCTTAAGCTAAGATAAAATATAATAGTCTTTCCCCTATATTCTTCTCCGGTTTGCCCATATTTCACCATAGTTTTCTGCTTATGTATCCTTTATGAAATGCTTCGCATTCATGACCGTTGAGCAATTAGTCTCTTTTGGCACGGGAAAGCTTAATGGAAATCGAAAACAAAACATGAGATTTTAGTCATCGTGATTTTATCCTATTTAAGCAATTATTAACACGGGATACTTTTCAAAATCACATGGTGTTTCTGAGCATCAGCATAAACCTGTCCCAATTATCTTTCTGCTTTGTTAACCTACAATTATGTGACAATTGTCACTTCAGTTGTTCTAGCAGCTGTTATTTGCGTTCGCGCCACGCTGTTCTTTTGCACAAATCTCCAGGTTTAGGCAGCTAAAACAGCTGCGATGATATGATGAAAGTAAATATAAATTGAGGATATTATATTCATAGGTCGTTTTGGAAACCGCTGTCATGAGAAAGTTAATCAATACGCTTAGAACAAATTGAGAAATTATAACGTCAAAACAATGTAAAAAATGTCTGAAATTTATAAGAACTTTTAAATATTGGCTTTTCAGTGACTTCATAGTGAATATGTACTCTAAAACTCACAAACCCGAAGTCGGCAGATTTGAATGATACACCAGAGTGACAATAAGAGACCTTGAGATTGCCAATCAGCCTGCAGATCACTGAAACAAATACTTTCACTCTCACATATTTTGTAGAAATGTTAGAATTGAATAATGTTTTGCTTCAAATCTAGATCATGGAGTAAAATATCTGTTCGATATTTAGCAAAAAATCTGGCATCTCACGATCCGATAATCAATATTAGACACGAGCTCTCATAGACCGACCGATTTCTTTTGGCTCACTACTTGTTGTTTCGGTACGATTAAAAATCCCTAATTGTGTCCAATAAGTACTAGTTTAACCACTTGACTGCACTTATTCCAGTCACTCTGACAGTTATGGATTTTTATGTCTCAAAATTCGAATACATTTGTCTCAGAGCAGTAGGGTTTACGAACACTGGCAGCACCCACATTACTAGGAACGGGGTTGATTAGTTCTAAGATGAACACCTATAAAAAGATGACTCTGGTGCTAAGGGAAGACAACCATTTCAAGAAATAAATGAATAGTTTGGTTGGCAATGCCGACTGTGAGAACGCCGGATAGAAAAAATAAGAACAGAAACGGGGATGATAATAGGCATAATAAAGAGTAGTTACTGATATGCGGTAGAGAAAACCGTGGCAGATTATGAGACATACATCAGACGGCCGGCCGAAGCGGTAGACCGTAATTTATAAATGAGTACACGTTTGCAGAGTCTTTTCGTAAGTACTTCCACTGAGGAAGAGGCAGTTATTTGAGCTAGAAAAGGGATTCCAAGTGGAAGCAATTATTAACCAGTAAAATGTCATCTATACCGGTTAACTGCTAATTAGTGAGCGGTTTTACCGCGGTTGAGGCATAGTATGTGGTGGTAAACTTCTGATAGTATGTGTGGTGTTACGGATAGTAGTGGATTTATTATGCTGTACAACCCAGTCAGGAACTACATCCTCATGTATCTTTGAAAAAATAAATATACGTTTTGGAGCCAACGGCAGTTTCCAGTTTCATAACCATGTCGTAGTTAAAACTCAGAGGAAAACAATCACACTTAATGATTGTACAGAGAAAAACAATTGGAGAAGTGATGAGGACAAATTGTTGTAATCGGGTAGCTCGCCTATCCATCAAAGTTATTTTCATGTGAACAGGATGTCAATAATTCATAAATTTTGATCAATATTTGACCCCATTAATAAACATAGACTTTTTCCTAAGAATTGTTATACACTCCTATTTTAGAATAAGGTGTGAACGACTGGTCATGAAATCTCGTAATTGATTTACAAAAACAGTGAAACTAGAACCAGATCCAACTGAAAGCACATGCTATTGATCATTACTAATCAACCTACTAGTCTTCTTACGTTGTTGAAGAGAATTTTGACAGTTTGTCACATCACCTGGTGCCCCTCTACAGCAGTTTATCTTCTGGTTTTTAGACTAGTCAATGTGTTTTCTGCCTGTACAACGTGTCTCATTAGCGGGAACTTGGTGTCCTGTACCGTTTGTTGGTGACCGACGTCAACTGACACTAAGGTGCGGGGAAGTACCTGAGTTTTGCTCTCTCTGATTTGCAATCATCTGAGGGTTGCCTCGAAGAGCATGGTAGGTATATTTTAATTGTATGCTCATGTTGAGGTGACTTGACGTACCTAATATTTCACCTGACATTGTCAGATCACTTCTTATTCTTGCTCATAGGGAATAATCGCATGTCGTAGTCTATCTTCTCAAGATTCATTTTTTAGCAACACCACCCATTTAGTTATTCTTCTCTATTCTTGATCTGCGAGAGTTGCGTCTATCTTGGAGAGACTGGGCACAACAGCATTTTAGACATCAAGGTGAGGCTGTGAGTTTGTTCTTGACAATGTCGAGGGAAGTTCCGGAGTGGTTTATCCAAGTTGTTTTAGCATAAAGTGAATAGTTGCATCTTTCTTGACTATATGTTAAATGCAGTTTGAGCTGGTGTCTAATCTCTCTGTGGTTGCTAGGCCCAAAGCTCGCTCTGATGAAACAATCCATTGAGGACGTATAATCTTTGTGTCAAATGAGCCAGAATGTTAATGACGTGATATTTCGACAGGTCAAGTTTTAACCAATTGTCTGCCTCCTGTTCCTCCACTGTTGTGAATTCCTTTTGAAGCTCAGGTGAACCTCAGAATCCCAGGGTATTCCACATAAATTTAATACTTTGTTCGCGATAAGCTAACCAATTTCATACCTAAATCCTCTATATCTCATTGACCAGACAAATATTCTATCAAACCATTCGGCTGTATTTGATGAAGAGTAATAAAGGTACTCAGAAACATTTGAAGTGAGCTAATGCTGCGGCTAACTAGGTTTATGACCATTACATAGTAAAACCACTAATCCAAAACAAATTTTCTATGCAGACCGGTCCTGTTAGACACAATATATCTGAGTGTATCATACTTTTTACCATAAGGAATAGGTTAACGTTACAAGTAAGCGAATATTATGTTGATAAATAGTGTCCTGGAACACACGGGTATTGTCGTAGTACAGCAGACTTATTCTACCAACAACTACAGATATATATATATAGCGATAACGCTTTAACTGATATATCAGGGGAACCTTTAACATAGAGATTAACCTAGTTTCCGGCTGACTTTAGGGAATAGGAATGTTGGTTTCGCCCACCGATATTCAGTTTTAATCCCTCGTCAGTGGTTTTGAAGAGACAATCACACAAACCCGAGGTGGGATTTGACAGAGTTAATTGATGAATCTAACTTTTGGATTGCTTATAATATTATCCCTTGTGGGATACTGCTTTGATAAATATCTGCTCACGAAGTGCCCATAACTCATCCGTTCCCCCTCGGATTGCCAATATGTTTACT